TAAAATATATTTGCATACATTTAGGGAATTGTTCTAACCAATGAGTTAAATTCCAAATAGTCTCTGAATACTACAAGTAGTTACTTAGTAAGAGAATAAATCAGTCCTAAATTAGGAACAACTGTATAATTAATCAGAAAGACAAGAAGAGTGAATTTACATAAAAAGTTAATGTTCCTAATATATTCACATCCAACTAGGCCCCAAATCGGTCTGAGATGAAATCCCCCCATACAAGAGGAAATTCTCTACTCTTCTAAGTGAAAGCCCATGGAGTTCACTCTCAAGTGTCCAGGTATGAATTGCTATTCACCAGAGTAACTGCCCTTGCATTTGGGGAAAACTTATTTCCCAAGATCAGAGTGAGTCGATCCCATTAACAGTCACACAATCTTATCTCAGTTACACTAATGTCCTGCCTGAAGTCAAGATTAAGGCCTTGGTTGGAGAGGGTTTTTTTTCCCCTTAATATTAACACGTGGGGGGTCACAGAAGGGAACACAGTTAAGGAGATCCTTCACGTGGCGGCTGAAAGGGTGCGGAAGAGAGGAAGAGAATGGTTAACAGGGAGGGTCCAGGACTCTCAGGATGCCCCAATTCAAATCTCAACTTGGGGAGAGGTGGTAACTTGAATGTCCCCCCCAGCCCCAGCTGCTTTCTTCACCCTCCTTGACCCAACCCCTAGGCCAGTGGCTCAGCCAGGCGCCCCGGGTCCAGCCCCGGGGCTGAAATGCAGGGAGGGGGAGGCACTTAGGCCTCGCCACCCAGCGGCCTTCCTCCCCCAGCCCGGCGGGCGGGAGGAGACCCAGGAAGCCGCGCCCGGTTCCCGAGGGGTGGAGGGCCTAGGCCGCGCCTCCCAGCCAGGAGGCCCTAGGCCTCGGCTCGCCCGAGGCGGGGCCCGGGCGGCCGGGGCGGCGGGCTCGGCGCCGGTCACCCACCTGGGTTGCCAGTCATTCCAGCTCCGCGGGTACTTGGTGCCGCCGCCGCCGCCGCTGCTCAGCCGAGACCCCGGGGCTCTGCGGCTCATTACCTTCCCCGACACGACATGGCCAAGCGCCGCCGCCCGAAGAAGCGCGAGTCGCCGCCCGAACCGGCCGCCGCCGACACCCCGCTCCGGCCCGGGGCTGAAGAGGAAGCCGAGGAGGAGGAGGAGGAGGCGGCGGAGGGCGGGGGAGGCGGACGGCCGTTCCGGGTTCCGCCTGAGCCCGCAGCGCAGGAGGAGGAGGCGGGAGCGGCGCCGCGAGAAGGAGGCGGAGGAAGGGGAGGCGACGTCTCTTCCAGGGCCGTGCGCAGCCCGCGACGCCGGGGCCCAGGAGGACTAGGACGGCGAGGAGGAGGCGGTGGCGGCGGCTCCTCAAGCTCACACGGCCACGGCTTCCCCGCCTCCCGGCTCCGCCCGCCGCGCCGCCGCTGCCGCACGGCATGCTGGGAGGGAGAGGACGTGCCGGCGCCCGCCGGGCCTGGGGAGAGGGGCGGGGCCTGGCCGGAGGGGCGGGGCCGGCTCCGGTGGGCGGGGCGGGTAGGGGCGGGGCCACCGGCGGGCGGGCCGCCTTCCCGCGCCCCCCGGGCTAGCCGCCACTTCCAGCGGACGGCCCGGGGTCGGACAGCCCCGCGGGGAATGCTCCGAGAGGGAATCTCAACCACCACCCCACACACCCCTCCCAGATACCCTCGGGAGAACATCTGACCTCCGAGGGCCGGGCAGTCAGGTGTAAACAGGCGTCCAATCAAGGACCTGAGTGAGGAGGGCTGGTGCCCTGGGGTGCGCGCGCACAGGCGTGCCCTTGGCGCTCACGTGCGCCCACCTTCCCACCGTCCGCGGTAAAAAGTGAGAACAGTACGGTCGAGGGGAGGCAGCCATGCACCTTGCCAGCCCCCACCTGGAGTGTACCGACGGAGTCCTGACACCTTGACCATTTCTTCACGTTGCAAAAAACTACGTAGCGCAGGAAGGGGCGTACCCGCGACTCCCACCCCCTGTCCCCTGCCACAGGGAAATCTGCCCCGAAATCTTCTCCCCCAACACTTGCCCACCTTCACCGGCAGAAAGCTGGCTAGAGGAAGCAAACCTGAGCACTACGTCCCCCAGACACTCTCCCCACCCAAAAGAATTCACTAAAGCATCTGATACACAACATGGATACAGATACATTTTTCAAATGTGGGCGAGACGCACATCAAACAAGGGGCTTAATCCTATCTGCTTAACCTATCATTTTACATTGCAAGGAGAAAGTATATGTCCCTTGTGTAATTAAAAATTGTTACCAAAGGTACTTTAAGATTGTCAGGAGTTGGTATCTCCACACACTATGCTCCTTCAACCTTGGGCTCCTTCCTTAAGCCCACCAATCCCTCACTAGAGAGGAACCTGCCAGTTGTAAAGGATGTAAAGTCAGAAATTCAAATAAACTTTCTTCATCCTCCCTCCCCCCCCCCAACTCAGGAAGAAAGAAACTCCCTCTCTGAACTGGTGCTGATATTTGACACAACACTGAAATTCTCACAAAGAGTGGGTCAGACCCCAGCATGGTCAGGTGACCACCTGTGTGAAAAATAAATTCAATAAAGCTGAATGGAAGTATCAAGAGGAGAGGGCTATATTTCATGTGCACACACTCCATCCCGAAATTTGTACTAGGTACCCTCACACTTGCCCACCTCCCTGTTTGTGAGGGGAAAATAGAAGAAAGAGCATGACCAGTTGTAAAAGAGGACCTGCAAGTGGTGTCCTTTCCTCCCTGTTTACTGTTCCCTGCTAAGTCCCAAGATGAGGGTCCCCTCACTCAGTATGGTCCTTTCTGGGAGACTGTTAATCGTACAACAAAGTATTTTTTGGTTTTGTTTGTAATGAATGTTTAATTACATAAGCAATGGGAATACATTGTCCTCACCTGTGTTTTTAACATACAGACTAATCATGATTTATTCTTTCATTCCAAGAAATTTACTGACCTCCTACCAACTAAACATCTAGGGACAGGTCAGTCATCCATACCCAATTCCTGCCCTCAAGGAACCCAGGAAGTAGGGGTGAGGGAGCTGGATCTATTAGAAGAAATGACTGAAATATTTATGTTTGTCCTATCTCCCCCTCCACCACCTTGCAAGCTTGTCTTTTTTTTTTTTTTTTGAAACAGAGTCTCGCTTTGTTGCCCAGGCTAGAGTGAGTGCCATGGCGTCAGCCTAGCTCACAGCAACCTCAGACTCCTGGGCTCAAGCAATCCTCCTGCCTCAGCCTCCCGAGTAGCAGGGACTACAGGCGTGCGCCACCATGCCTGGCTAATTTTTTGTATATATATTAGTTGGCCAATTAATTTCTTTCTATTTATAGTAGAGACGGGGTCTGGCTCTTGCTTAGGCTGGTTTCAAACTCCTGACCTCGAGCAATCCACCCGCCTCGGCCTCCCAGAGTGCTAGGATTACAGGCGTGAGCCACCGTGCCTGGCCTCCAAAGCTTTTTCTTAATTGTAAATTCTGAGCTTCCTTGGATTTGTTTTCCTCAGATTCTTTACTTTTGTTGTTGTTGTTGTTGTTGTTGGAGACAGGGGCTTGCTCTGTCACCCAGACTGGAGTGCAGTGACACAATCACAGCTCACTGTAACCTCAAACTCCTCAGCTTAAGAGATCCTCCTGCCTCAGCCTCCCAAAGCTCTGGGATTATAGACTTGAGCCACTACACCTGGACAGATTCTTTACTTTTTATGTTCCAGCTGAGTTGACGTCCCTTCACTTTGGGACCCTCAGCCCCACAAGCAAAAATGGCTGATGTAACCTATTAGTCATTTGGACTTCCTTAAATAGTCAATCGCAATAATGGTGCAGTGACCAAATGATGTCAATTATTCAAATTCCAAAATGAATCACCAGAATCACCAGAACTTAGATCTCTGAGAAAAATTTCAAGTGTCCTTTTAACCTCTTCAAATTATAAAACAACAGTAGCGCACATCAAAAATGTCCATTTCTGACTCTCCCTCTTCTAAGACAAGGAAGTGTTAGCAAACTCCTGACTCTCACAGTAAAGTGGAAATGATAATAATAGTAGTGACTTCTTAAGGATGTGGAGAGGATTAATAGAAATATTGCATGTAAAGTGCTTTGCGCAGTGCCTGCCACACAGTAAGCAAGCCAGAAATGTTAACTAAAAATCAGACCTATAATTTTCGTAGGGACATGGCTATTTGCATAGTATTTTGACCAATAACTATGGAAAAAAAAGTAGTGGCAGAGGTTATATCCAGTTGCCCAAACAATTTCTTATTTGTCTTGTTTTTTTTTTCCCACTTCTTCCATAGAAATAATTAACTCTCAAAAACCGTGCTGGCAAAGGGATAGTGTGAGGACATAGAAGGTGGGAGAGTGGCATTTGGCAGGAAACTTCTTGCAAAGTAATAATAGTGTGTATTCAAACACCTAAAATCATTAATACCCTTTCTCCCAGTAATTCCACTTCTGGGAATCTATTCTAAGGAAATCTGCCTCACCACAGCCAGAGTGATTTTCTTAAAATAAAAATCAGATCACGCCACCATCCTTCTTACAACTCATCAGTGGCTTCCCGTTCTTAGAATAAAATCCAGATTCATCATTACTAAAAGCCTACCAGGGGCTGTGAAATGTGGATTCTCCTACATGGCAACCCACAGCAGCTGATATCCAGAGCAGGATCCTAGCAGTGATTGCCAATTTCATCTTCACAGGCCGGGCACGGTGGCTCATGCCTGTAATCCTAGCACTTTGGGATGCCGAGGCGAGTGGATAGCTCAAGGTCAGGAGTTCGAAACCAGCCTGAGGAACAGTGAGACCCCCATCTCTACTAAAAAAAATAGAAACAAATTAATTGGCCAACTAAAAATATATAGAAAAAATTAGCCGGGCATGGTGGCACATGCCTGTAGTCCTAGCTACTCAGGAGAGTGAGGCAGAAGGATCGCTTGAGCCCAAGACTTTGAGGTTGCTGTGAGCTAGGCTGACGCCATGGCACGCTAGCCTGGGCAAGAGAGTGAGACTCTGTCTCAAAACATAAATAAATAAATAAATAAATAAATAAAATGTCCTCTTCACAGTAGAGTCCTCCACAGACGCTGCATCCCAGACCGATTAAATCAGAATCTCTCTGGGTAGGCCCAGGAATCACTAGTTTTTAGATTTCCTCAGGGGATTCTGATATGGAGCCAATGTTGAAAACTGCTACTTCCTTCCTTGGGTCTACAAAGGAGTGAAAAACAAAACAAAATAATAAAATAAAATGTAGGAGAAGCAGCACTACTTCTGAGCCCCTATGCACTGAAAGTTATCTATGGCACCCCCAACCCTATCTCCCAACATGCATGGATTATCATGACAATGTTAAACCACCGCGGGGGGGGGGGGGGGAATTTGAAGCTACTTGAATATATTAAAAAATATATCAAATACGAGCAACTCTGAAAACTTTCTGATTTTTTTCCTCATTTCATTTGGTGATTCTGAGTCTCTGGTTCCATTAGCATTTCTCCCACTTTGTTGCAGTCATAGCGACCAAGTTTCTGTTCCTGGAATACCCTAAGCCTCCCCAGCCTATGAGGTTTTGAACTTGCTGTTCCCTCTGCCTGGAATGCCTTTCCTACATTTGTTCCCATCAGGGTTGGGACTAGCCTCGCAAGGTGACTGAGGTGCCTAGGGTACTAAGTTAAAAGAGGCACTCACTCTCAGGATCATGCAAATGCCAACTCTGCACTTGCACAAGCCTGTATGTGAGTCCCCCCTACCTGTGGGGTCCTAGGCACTGCCTTCGCCACACTCGGGCCTCTGCCCTGTTCCCCGCGGCCCGTCTCAGCTCTTCAGAGAAGTGTGCCTGGACCTCCATGCCCATAAAAGCTGGCCGGTGCCCTTTCCAGTTACTCTCTGTCACATACCTTGTTTCTTTCCTTGGTAGTATTCGTCACCTCTGCAAGTATTGGGTTTCTTTGCACATTTATCATCTGTCTAACCCTTAGGATATGAGCTTTGTGAGAGCAAAGGTCACACCTGTCCCAGCCCCACCTCCTCTATCCTAGGCTCACAGCACAGTGCCTCCCTGACCCATAGGAGGCACTCAAGAAATGGGAGGAATGAAATGGAAATTATCTAAAACAGAGACCAAGTTGATACAAATGTATTCATCTCAGTTTTACTTATTAATAGCAAAAAAAAAAGAAAGAAAAAAACAGGGAAACGATCCCAATGCCCAACACTAGGAAACTGATTAAGAGACCATATATTCAGAGGTAAAATCTTCGGCAACCATTAGAGATTATATTTATAAAGAATGTTTAATGAAATCAGCAAAGTGTTATGTTAACATGTTAAACAAACAGAAAAAGCATGAGATTCAAAAATGAACATGTGCTATGACCTTAACTTGGTAAAAGAAAAAAAAAAAACAGAGGAGGATTCATAGAGGAAAAAAAGAAGAAAATTTGTTACATTTACCTAATATTGAAGACCTGTGATAAGTGGGACCATGGATTTTTTTTCCACGCTCTTGCTAGTTTACTAATTAGAACACAGATGTAGTATTTGTGAAACAAAATTAAAAAAAACTAAAAGGAAGCACTCAATAAATAGGTGTTGAATGAACAAAGAATGAACATTCTTAGGGTGTGGCAGTGATTCACAGACCTTTGAGTAAACTTTGGCCAGAGCATTGAGTCTTAGCCCTAATAATAGCGACCAACTCAAGCTAATATTTATTGAGCATTTACTAATGCCAAACACTGAGCCAAATGGTCAATATGAGGTTACTTCATGAAATTCTCTAAAACCACACTACAAGTAGGTATCAATGTGGCACTTTACAAATTGGAAGTGTCATGCCAAGAGAAGCTAAGCAGCCTTCCCAAGGTCACTCAGCTGGTAGCAGGCAGGGCCAGGAAGGAATGTCACAGGCAGGGACAGAAGGGACATTTGGCCCCAACCTCACATTCGTCAAAGGCCTCAGATTTAGACCTTTGACGTTCTTCCCTAATGAGGTTACATACGGAGTCCCAGAGACACACGGACAGGAAGTCTAAATTTTAAAACTGTGCCCTGTTACCAGCCCACACACCTATTGGGGCTGTGCATTAATACTTCAAAATAAATTATATTATTACCTGGCGAATAGGTAATTACAGTGCATTATAGTTTGTTTCCTCTTGTGTTAAAACTATACAACTGTAAAAAGGAAACAAAATATATCACAAATTTTGTACTGAGGGAAGCCAGTAAATTTCACCCCAAAATATGACTCCTTGGTATAAAGAGGATTTGGAATTAAAGGCCCCTAGAGATCAACAGCCATGGGAAGGGGCTCTCCTTCTTTCTTCATAGAAAACCAGACCCATCAAAAATAACAAACGACTTCACTTCCCCTCCCTGTTATCTCAATACATTACAGGAAAGAAGATCAACACTGCAACCAGACCTGAGCCAAATCATCTTAAATATTATACCTGTCTCTCAGGTTAATTTAATTTCCAAAGAGAATCATTTATAAGTTAATCTATTTTCCCTCCCCTATCCATTCATTCTCCCTAGTAACCTTCTATTGTACCTAAACAGAATGACCTATATTTCTCACCTCCCCCTCCCCTCCAAGATGGGGGTGTATAAACTTCTGTACCCCATTGAGATGTTGGGTAATCACTCTGTGATTCTCCCCAAGTGAACAGTATATAGGGGTGAAGGGGAAGCTTCCCCTCACCCACACAGTACTCTGCTTGCTATTTCCTACATTTTTAATACACTCAGAGCCTCAAAAACTTGTAATATGATTGATTCTTTCTTAACTCCTGAAAGACCTTGGAGTCAGGACTTGAACACAGCCCAACCCCAGAGTCCTTAACCACTAGGATTTTCCTAGAGATCTTCCAAATTTCCTAGATAGACTGCACTCCAATTTATTCCCTGAGTAAACAAAAGATAAGGCTCTCTTTTTTGTTTCCTTTAAACCCTATATCTGACTCCAGATTAACCCAATTAGACATCAAGAATCGAGGAACTTGATTCTCAAACAGAAGACTCAAGTACAAGGGTGATTTTTTTATAAATACGATCTTAAAAGCAAATCCACATCCTAGAGACATTAAAGCAGATTTTAAAAAATGAAAACAGCAGCCTTTTTGTTTCTGCTCCCAGCGAGGGAATCTTTGTCACTGGTCAGGCTCCCTCTGTAAGGGCTATTTTTATAGCGAGTTTTCAAGTTGGTGCAGGAGGAATTTGGCTGGGAAACCTCATGACACATTTGAAATCTCCACTCAGGCTGCCTCAGCTTGAGGTAGGGGCCAAAATTCTATGAATCAGGGCACAAGACGTGCCCTCAGTGGCTCGTGCACACTCTAAACAATAAAACAGGAGGACAATGAAGCTTATCTGAAGCTCTTTGTAACTTATAAAATAGAGATAACAAGAGATGAAATTCCCCCATATTTGACTCTCAGCTGCCTCAGGATTTTGCAGGGCGATTCTAATGGCGGGAGCTCTTTTGCTTATCATGCTTAAACCATTTTCAGGGATATCTGCAAATAAAATGTAAATTATGTAAAATCGATGAAAATCCCCAGCAGTAAGTCACTGCCTTCTATTACTTCTATAGTTATCTCTTAAATTTTTAAAAAGAATCCTGTGTATATCTCTTTCCTGTACCTAGTAATGTATTTCTGAAGAATTGGATTGTACGGAGGTGAAACTTTTTACTTTTGTTTTTTTTTTCTTTTTTTGAGACAGGGTCTTGCTCTGTCACCCAGGCTAGAGTGCAGTGGTGAAATCACAGCTCACTACAACTTCAAACTCCTGGGCTCAAGTGATCCTCCTGCTTCAGCCTCCTGAGTAGCTTGGACTATAGGAGCACCACTATGACCAGCTAATATTTTAATTTTTCTTTTTTAGTGATGGAGTCTTACTATGTTGCCCAGTCTGTTCTCAAACTCCTAGTCTCAAGGATTCTCCCACCTCAGCCTCCTAAAGTGCTAGGATTACTGGCTTGAGTCACTGCCCCGGGCAAAAACATTCTACTTGGAACGCTAATGGACAAGCATTGTTTGGCCAGAGGTATTTCATCTTTCTATCTGCTTTTAATAGGAATTCCTGGCATTGTACCTGCCTCTTAATCCATGGCTTATATAGCCTTTCTCCTGGTTCTTCCCCAACTCCATCCAGCCTTCTTAAACATCTGGCCTAAAGTCAGCACCCACCAGGATTGGGTTAAAGAAAAAGAAGGTTAGTGTGTGGTAGGGGTGGGGAGAGGGAGTGTGCAGATGGAAGTTAAAGCTGGGGTAAAGGAGAGTGCAGCCTTCTGCATTTACTGTCACTGCTTGGAAGTCACCTAAATCTGATGATGACAATAATAATAATAATACAATCCACAATAACAGTAGTTAACATTTATTGGTCTCTTACTACTTGCCAGGCAAGGTGCTAAGCACTTTACATAACTATGATAACTACTGCTTATTGAACCCTCAAGATGACCACATAAAGTCAGATGCTCTTGTTCCCAGATGATGAAGCAGATGTTTATAAAGGACATGACTTGCTCAAGGTGACAGCTAGTAAACAGTAGAGTGGTTGCCTGTCTCTGTGCCACCCCTATAATTTCTTTCAGCCAACAATCAACCTAATTTATATGAGTAACCTGTTTCTTAAAAGCAATCAGGTGTCGCAAGTGTGACTCTTTATCAATAAAGAGTTAAAGAAGACTGGGTGCGGTGGCTCATGCCTGTAATCCCAGCACTCAGGGAGGTTAAGGCAGGAGGATCATTTAAGGTCAGGAGTTCGAGACCAGCCTGGGCAATATAGTGAGACCTCCACCCTTTCATCTCTACAAAAAAATAGAAAAATTAGCTGGATTAGCTGGGCGTGGTGGTATGCTCTCATAGGCCTAGCCACTTGGGAGGCTGAAGCAGGAGGATCACTTGAGCGCAGAAGTCTGAGGTTGCTGTGAGCTAGGCTGATGCCATGGCACTCTAGCCTGGGCAACAGTGAAACTCTGTCTCAAAAAAAAAAAAAAATGTTAAAGAACCTTCCTTCCAGATAAGGAAGGGTAAATATTTCACTTCAGAGGTTCTTGCTGAAATAGAACCATTTGGCTTCTTCAGTGGTCTGCTATATATGTCATAACTGAAATTATTCCTTCATGCTGACACGGAGGCAAATACAGGCTTACTCTATAAGGTCTGTTCCACTAACACTATCTGAAGGTCACACTG